TCAGGCAAATAAAAAAAATGTTCTTTGCAGCTGCACATGAAGACGCTGATCCAGAACCGCTACCAGGGTCGGGCCCCCGGGGCCTTTTACGTCGAGTATCTGAGCTTTTGGAAGAGGTCGCTGTTGTTCTTGTTGTTTCGGGGAGTCGTTTAATGTCGATTCTAGCTAAACCGACTCATTGGCGAGTACCCGGAAGTGGCTGTTGAAGCCGTGATCGCCGAGCTGGTGCTGGACCGAATCCACGAGATTGGCGAGAAGTACGAGGAGATCAACAAGGTGAGCAGCTACCGGATGGTGCTTGGGAAACACACTGGCTATGATTAGGTAAACTGAAATTGGCTCTAGACTGTTAGCGGGGGGCCGAACTTTTTTGTAGAAGTCAAGAAATCTCTAGTAAGCTAAATTGTTTGAATAGTGTTTTTAGCAAGTACTTTACTTTATTTAAACCAGAAAAACTTGCTCAAAACGTTAAAAAATTTTGACAAGGTTGAAATTTTGGTCAAAATTGGACAAATTTTTACGTTTAAGCATAGTCAAAAACCATTCAGGTACGAGTGCAGTTCCCCCCCCCCCCAGCCGGCACCCAACTTGTATATCTCGGCTCCCTGTCCATCTCCAGGTGTGTAAAGTATACCAAAATACTCGCCAGAGCAAGAGGAACACCTGTAGATGAACAGGGAGCCGAGATACGGTAGGTGGGTGCCGGCCGGGGGAAACTGCACCTAAGCCAAAAGCTGGTCCCCCCCGATACAAGGCGAAAGGACCAAACTGAAATTTTCAGAAGTGGCTGTCGCTAAAAACCGAGATCAAGACCTACTGCGGCGGCAAGGTAAGCGGAATCCTTGGCATTCATTGCATTTTTTTGACGCTCAGATGCTTGAGTACCACCCGCGCTGGACGGATGCGGTGGCCATGGAGCGCGTCTACAAGCAGCGCGACTTGGACAGTGTCCCGGTTAGCTTCCTCAGCCCAATTTTACTTTTTTTTTCAGAAATTGATGCACAAGGTCCGCGAAGCGTTCTACGAAATCATTCGCGAAAGCCCATGGGCCGATCCGCCCACCCAGGACGTTGCTGTGGGCAAGGTAGGCAAATGGGGCGTCCCGAAAAGAATTGGCCGTCTCAAAAATTCCGTTCAGATCAAAAACGTTTCAATGCACATCGGGCAAGATGTCGAGACATGGCCGAGGCGCCAGGTCGAGGCGTACTACAAGAAGTACACCCCGGCTGAGGCGCCCACCTGGGCGGCGTTCCGCGAAAAGCGCAAGCGGTGGACCGGCTTCAAAAATTTTAGCGTAGTTTCGGGCCGTGCTGGCGAAACCTCGTTTAGGGCGCGTTAGTTAAGAAGCGCACGTCGTTGTCAACGCCTATGCACTCCTACCACACGATCCGTGGGTTTTTAGCGGGAAATGCGAATTTTGGTCGAAATCTATGAAAAATTACACGAAATTATCAGATTTTTGAACTTTAAGGTGTGTTTTTTAGATTTCTAGTAAGCAATAACTACTAAATACCATATAAAACAACGGCATTTATTATTAACCAGATGGTTACAGTCGCTTCGCGACTGCAACCATCTGGCCTTCGGCTACTACCCTACATGTCCCACCCACCACATCCTTTCCCACCTCCATCAATACCCCCGATAGCCGAATTCCCCTTCAAAAACTACCTCAATACCTTCCCGATGGCTTCAGATATTTACTGGCTGAAATCCCCCTTCAAAAACTACCTAAATACCTTCCCGATGGCTTAAGATACCTCCCCTAGCCGAAATCCCTTTCAAAAACGAAAACCACGACCGACCGGATGGAATGAGAGAAAAAAGAAATGAAATCCCCGTGAAAATTTTCATCCACGAAACGCGTCCACCTGGCTCACTGTGCCAAATCACCCCAACCTCCGTCCCCCACCCCTTTTACTAAGGAAAAACTTTCAAAGTTAATTTTAATAATTTAAACTAAATCTTTTTCGTAATTTTTTAATCAGTTTGGGGGTTTCTGACCACGCTCTATCCGAATCCGAAGAGAGCTACGCTCTAGCTCCTTTCGCCTTCGAGTTGAATTCGGGACATGACGGACAGACACCACAGCAAAATTACCATAGGTAGACCGAAGCGCCCAAAACCCGCTTCGCGGCCTTGGGCGCTGGAATCTGGCCTTGGCATGAAAAGCTTGAATTCTGATAGCTCGGGTCCTGCGGACCCCTCCGCCCCGCGACCACACGCGCGAGTGCAACTGGCAAGAATGAGGAAATTTGTATTTTTCACATCATGCAAATTAGCCCTCAGGTGCCTTACACAAAAATGAATAAACCGGCTTTAACTGTGTAAACTTATATTTTATCGAAATTCTGAAAACGCCATCCGGAAACAGAAGGGGTCGATTCCCCCCAAGTGACGAAGAATCAGAGCGTTTTATACACGGGAAGGCCCTCAAATCGGGCCTCGAAAGTGACATCCACACACACACACTCACACAATATTACGCGACCAAATTATATAAGGTAGGATAAGTAGATATAGGGCTTAAAAAAACGAAAAATTAGTTCCCCAATTAACAGCCAAGTACCGGTTTCCTTCTCCAGGTATCCTTTGGGGCATCATGGGTACCGCCGTTCCCATACCGCCGACGCGGCGCTG